GGAAGACCCCCACAGCAACGATCTCTTACCTCTCTGGCTGTCACAGGCTTTTCCCTGGAGTTCCTTGGCTGTGTTGCACTAGGCCCTTCAGGCTTTCATCATGACACTCAACCCCAGTCCTCTCCCTATGGTCTGATCTCCAAAGCCTGAGCCTCAACACCCAGCCACCGCTCAGCATGGCAGGCAAGCTAACAAATGTCTCAGACTGGGGAGTGCTGTCAGCACTGATGTCTGTGGTGAAGTCTTTCCACTTCTTTTCCCAAATATCTGTTGCTGTGCTCCCCTCTGAGGTTCTGAAGCTCACCCCTACCTCCGCCCATTAGGGGATCTCCTAGTGTCTGGAAACGTTCCCTCCTTCAGAGCTCCCTCCCAGAGGCACAGGACATGTCCCCATACCTTTGTCTCCTTTTTTTAAAAATTTATTTTGCCCTACCCCATGGAAATTAGCTTGCCTTTTTGGAAGTCTGGGGTCTCTGCCAGCATTCGGTAGATATTCTACAGGAGTTGTTCCAGATTTATTTTGGTGTATTTGTGGTGAGGAAGATGGTTTCTATGTTTTACTTCTTTCTCAGCCATCTTGAAATCCCCCTCTTGTAGAAGAATTGGCATAACTTCTCTTTTAAACATCTGGCAGAATTAAAGAGTTGAAAAACATCAGATTCAGGACTTTTTCTTTAATGGAAGACTTTGGGTTACTGATTCAATCTACTCACTTCATATTCAATTCATATTTTGTCATATTCAAGTCATATTCAATTCAAATTTTGTAAATTTTTAATGAACTTTTGGTAGATACTGTGTTTACATGGATTTGTTCATTGTATCTAGGCTAACATTTGTTGGTATAAAATTATTCATAGAGGTCTCACAATATTTTTAATTCTGTAGACCTAAGTGATAATATCCCCATTTAATTTCTGATTTGGGTAATTTAGATTTTTCTTTTTTCCTTAGTCCATCTAACTAAGGGTTTGTCAGTGTCTTTGCTCTTTTGGAAAACCAACTTTTGGTTTCATTGACATTCTTTACTAATTTCTCTTCTCTATTTTACTGCTTTAATCTTTATTATTTACTTCCTTCTGGTAGTTTTGGGTTGAAATCTTCTTTCACTAATTCCTTAAGTTGTAACATTAGGTTTCTTACTTTAATTGAAGAATAACTTACCTACAGGTACCTTCAGGTACATCACATAGGGATTGATATTTCTATATATTTAAAAAGTGATTGCCATGATCTAGTTATCATCTGTCACCATACAAGGTTTTGCACAGTTATTACTGGTTTCCTACTTTCATCCTCATAACCTCTTTCTTTCATAACTGGAAATTTGCACCTCTTCATTTCACTCACCTAATTCATTTCTCCCTCCACCCTCTCCCTCCGGAAACCACTTTTTTGTTCTCTGTGACTGGAGTGTGTTTCTGTTTTGTTGTTTCTCATTTGCTCTGTGCTTAATTGCACTTATAGATGAAATCACGCAATATTTATATTTCTCTTTCTTGCTTTTCTCACTTTGCATGATATTCTCTAGGCGTATCCTATGTTGTTGCTAATGGCGAGACTTGCCTGTTTTTATGGCTGAGCTATAGTCCATTGTGTTTGTTTATCCATATGTTCTTAATCCCTTTAGTCTCCTGAAGGGCATATAGTTAGCTACTGTATCTTGTCTACCTTATGCAGCAATGAACGTAGCAGTGCTGGGAAAAGTTGAAGGCAAGAGGAGAAGGGAGCGGCAGGGGATGCGGTGGTTGGATGACATCACTGACTCAGTGGACATGAGTTTGAGCAAACTCCAGGAGATAGTAAAGAAGAGGGGAGCCTGACATGCTGCAGCCCATGGGGGTCACAACGAGTAGGACATGACTTAGCCACGGAACAACTTTTCAACTCCAGGATTTCCTTTAGGCTTCTTTCTAGTTTTTCTGTCTCCTGTTTGAGATTTCCATGTTTCACACATCTTTTCTTGATTTTCTGAATTTCTTCCTTTAGTTTTTTAAGCATCATTAAGGCAGTCATTTTTTCTGTCAAATTTTATTGGGGGTCCAGGACCTTGGTGTTTAGGCAAGAGACCTCCCTGCCGGCAAAGAGGCACCAAAGTATGGGAATCATTTAATGTTCTTCTGGAGGTGCAGGTTGCTGGTGTGGACACATTTCTTCTTGTGGCAGTCGGCAGCACTGAGACTGAAGTGAGCAAATACTTGTGAGAGGTCGTTTACTGGCAGTGTATTTTGGGGCAAGCTTGTGGAAGGAAGACTCAGTGATGCCACCCCACAGGCAAAGCACCAAGTGCAGGTTGAATCCTTTCTTGAATTTGTGGTCTGAGAGTGTGTGGTCACCCTCCAGCCATTTGCCCCCGAAATTCAAAACTGTTAGGCAAACAGGATGTCTTCCTTTTCTTGGATTTTAGCTTTGATATTCTCAATGGTGACATTGAACTTGACCCTGAGAGTGATGTTCTTATTTGCAGGGTGTTCATAAAGATCTGCAGCACTATGTCTCCCACTTAGCCCCCTCATTGAAGAAAAATCAGACAGCAGAACTGACATTAATTGATTTACCACTGCAAATGCCTTCATAAGACAGTTATTTTAGTCTTTGTCTAGTTCGTCTGCCATCAGTTCTCTTTCAAAGACAATTTCCTTTATTTCTTCCATTGAATGGCTCTCACCCCTGTTTCTTTGTATGTGTTGTGATTTTCTTACTGAATAAAAAACACTTGAATCTAATACTTTGGTAATTCTGAAAATTAGATTTCCCCTGTTACCTGGGGGTTGCTCTTTCAAGTTAATGTTTTTTTGTATCTCTGTGATGAAGATCAGCCTGATATATAAACTGAAGATTGTCTCAGGTCCTTCCTGAGCATACACTATCACTTACTTATTTCCCCTACATATGCAGTTGCTTTTGAATGTCCTGATGGTGAATGTCTGCCTCCTGAAAGGGGAAAAAGCAAACATGAAAGGTGGAACAAAGGCCATTAAATATTTAAGCCCCTTTAAGTTACTTCATCCAGGATAGAAGGGGCTTGCAAGAATGGGGAGAGGTATGACAAGAATGGAAGTCCATCTCTTTGATTATCGGTGATCAGAAGCAGCAATCAGTGATAAGAACATAGATCCTCATATTTGGAGGGCAGTGTCCTTTTTGACCACCTTGGTTCCCATAAGCAACTTGTAAGCTGCTCTGATGCAGAGATCCCTGCCACACTGCTCTGGGTGAGGATGGGTAGCTACTGTGCTAAACAAGAGTGGAAATTGACCAAAGCAAGTCAATTTACCTGTCTACATCTTCACCTGGAAACTGTAAACCGTCAACAGAAGGCAGAGTTCCAAAATCGTGACATCAGGGAGATTCTACCTGTGCGATTGTTATCAAGGTGGGGAGACAGATTCCTGATGCCTCTTAAATTGCTGTCATCCCAGAAATACACATTGCAAAATGGAAAAAAAAAAGAAATTCACATTGCAATCTGAAATCAATGAGTGAGCCTTGTGGAAAAAGTCAGCTAGAAGCAGATAGGGTATTTTTTAATATAGTCAATTAAAATAATGGAACTTTCAGTGAATATTTATATAGAGAGGCTCAGCTAGATACTTTGAGGGATGACAAAACTCTAATATGTAGATTTTTCCTAAAGAAGTTGTATCCTTCTTGAGAAATACAGCATATACAGAGAGGGGTCAAAGCATAGTAGTAAATAAGAAGTATCAAATAGACAGAATCACTCACAATCATTACAGTGAACTTCCAGAAGGAGGAGAGTGTGTATTGTGAATTTAAATCATCAGAGATTTCATCAAGTAGGAGTATTCCTGAGCTATTCCTAAGAAGTCAAGTGACTGAGTCGTGTCTGAGTCTTTGCAACCCTATAAACTGTAGCCTGCTGGGCTCCTTTGTCCATGGGCTTCTCTAGGCAAGAAAACTGGAGTGGGTTCCCATTTCTTACTCCAAGGGATCTTCCCAACCCAGGGATCGAACCTGGGTCTCCTGCACTGCAGGCAGATTCTTTACCCTTGAGCCACCAGAGGAGCCCATAATCCTAGGAAGGTGAAGACATACCTTGGAGATGTTGCAGGTTCAGTTCCAGACCACCACAATAGAGCAAGTCAAATGAATTTTTTACATATGTTTACAAAAACAACAGCAGCAACATATACCGTAGTCTACTAAGTGTGTAGTGGAACTGTATCTAAAAAGTGTACATACATTAACTTCAAAATAGCATATTGCCAAATCTGAGCCTGCTGTAAGTCAGAGTAGTAACATTCAATAGCATTGATCACAGATGACCACAACAAATATAATAATAGTTATAAAGTTTGGAATATGTGATATTTACCAAAATGTGATAAGAGAAACAACTGAGCAAGCATTGTTGGGAAAATGGCCCAAATAAACTTGCTTGATGCAGGGTTGCCACGCACCTTCAGTTTGTTAAAATCTCAAAAAGTTTAAGAGCAATAAGATAAGGTGGGTGTGTATTCTGATCTAAAAAATATTAATAAGAGTTAAAACTTGCCTAGTACTCAGTATGTGCCAGAGGCTAACTCATCCAATCCTCAGAACAATCCCATGAGTTGTGTAGGGGAAGCATTAAGGAAGCATTAAGGGATTTCTCAAGCTCAAGGCAGTCATGGAGCTGGAACTTGAATCCAGGCAGGCAAGTTCTAGGGCCCTGATCTCTCTGCTTAGTCCTTACTGAGCAAAATGGTGTGAGCAAAGAGTAGAAGTCAGTGTGTGATACACGTGCCAGAGGCAGCAGACGGGCTACACTGACAAGCGTGACAGTGATTTGCACATTTTACTGTAGGCCAAAGTGGGTCCACATGCAGAACTCTCTATTCAATTGAGTTCCAGATTTAGCATATCCATGGTATTTTAAGAAACTTCTTCCTCAATTTGCTATAGTATAGAAAGACAACTCTATAAATATTTTTTTTCATTGTTATCCACCTTTTCTAATTGCTAAAGAACATAGTAACTTTTCTTTTCTCATTTAGTTTTTATCTGATTGGAGCAAGAATTCTACATTGTGAAATTTCTGAAAACAATGTGAACTGGAATGATGATTCCCCAATATGTGAAAGTAAGTATACCCCCTCTTTAGAATCTAGAGCAGCAGTTCTCAAACTTTTTGATGTGGTGACTGTGAGTGAGTGAAGGCACTCAATTGTGTCTGACTCTTTGCGACTCCATGGACTATACACTCCATGGAATTCTCTAGGCCAGAATACTGGAGTGGGTATCCTTTTCCTTCTCCAGATGATCTTCCCAACCCAGGGATTGAACCGAGGTGTACCGGATCACCGGCAGATTCTTTACTAGTTGAACCTCAAAAAAGGAAGCCCTTTTGATGCAGGGACCCATTTATTCTTTTAAACTAAAGTAGACACCCAAGAGCTTTTGTTTATATGGGTTGTGTCTATTGATATTTATTATATTGGAATTAAAGCTGAAAATTTTTAAAATAATTATTAATTCATTTTTAAGAAGAGTAAGTTCAATACATGTAAGTATATGCAACAAATTTTTATGAAAAATCAAAAAATTTTAAAACAAATAGTGAGAATTGTGGTACTGTTTTACCTTTTTCCATATTACTTGATCTTTTTCTAGATTCCATGCACACTTTTCAATTTTTTAAAGTTAATTAATTTATTTTTTGTTATGCTGGGTCTTTGTTACTATGCACAGGCGTTCCCTAGTTACTGTGAGCAAGAGGCTACTCTTTTTATTTATTTAATTAATTAATTTATTTTTACACCAAAATCATTTCGTATTGGAGTATAGCTGATTAATAATTTTGTTATAGTTTCAGTGAACAGTGAAGGAATTCAGCTGTACATATACATGTATCTATTCTTCCCCAAAGCCCCCTCCCATCCAGGTTGGCACATAACATTGAGCAGAGTTCCATGCGCTATACAATAGGTTTTTGTTGGTTTTCCACCTTAAATATAGCACTGTGTACATGACCTTTTCAAAGTCCTTAACTAGCCCTTCCCCTTGGCTGGACCCTGAGTTTGTTTTCTAAGTCTGTGAGTCTCTTTCTGTTTTCTAAGTAAGTTCATTTGTATCATTTCTTTTTAGTTTCCACATACAAGGGATGCCATATGATGTTTCTCTTTCTCTGTCTGACTTGTTTCACTCAAGATCACGCTCTCTAGGCCCATCTGTATTTTGCTGCAAATGGCCTTATTTCATTTTCTTTAATGGCTGTGTATATATATTGTGTGTATATGTATGTATATGCCACCTCTCCTTTATCCATTCCTCTGTCCATAGACATTTAGGTTGTCTCCATGTCTTGGCCAGTGTAGATGGTGCTGCAATGAACATTGGGGTGAATGTATCTTTTCGAGCCATGTTTTTCTCTAGATATATGCCCAATAGTGGGATTGCAAGGTCATATGGTGGCTCTATTTTTAGTTTTTTAAGGAACCTCCGTACTGTCCTCCATAGTGGCTGTGCCAATTTACATTCCTACCGACAGTGCAGGAGGGCTTCCTTCTCTCCACACCGTCTCCAGCATTTGTTGTTTGTGGACTTTTTTGGTGGTAGCCATTCTGACCAGTGTGAGGTGATATGTCATTGTCTTTTTGATTTGAATTTCTGTAACAACTGGTGATTTTGCACATATTTTCCTGTGATCTGCCGCTGCTGCTGCTGCTAAGTCACTCAGTCGTGTCCGACTCTGTGCAACCCCATAGACGGCAGCCCACCAGGCTCCTCTGTCCCTGGGATTCTCCAGGCAACAGTACTGGAGTGGGTTGCCATTTCCTTCTCCAGTGCATGCATACATGCTAAGTGCTTCAGCCGTGTCTGTCTCTGTGCGACCCTGCGGACAGCAGCCCACCAGGCTCCTCTGTCCACAGGATTCTCTAGGCAAGAATCCTGGAGGCTAGTCTTTTCGTGCACAGGCCTCTCATTGTGGTGACTTCTCTTGTTGCAGAGCACAGGCTCTCGACGCAGGACTTCAGTAGTTGCAGCACAGACGCTCATTAGTTGCAGTTTGCAGGTCTGGAACGCTCTGGCTTCAGTAGTTGTGGCCCACAAGTTTGGCTTCCCACACCATGTGGAATCTGCCCAGACCAGGGATCAAACCTATGTCCTCTGCACTGACATATGGATTCCTATCCACTGTACCACCAAGGAAGTCTGCAAATTACTTTAATATCTGGCTTAAAGGAAGACTTTTGGATTCAGCCTATTGCAAAATCACACAGTTTGTAGCCTCTGAAAAATTCAAACATACTCTCATAGGGATGAAATTGAAAAATGACAGTAATACTCAATATCAATGTTAACAATCAATTTGTTAGTGGAGATATTTATAAATCATAAAGGATTTTCTTAGCACAGAGTTTTATTTTTAATCACAAGTACATTTTAGCATTAAATTGTCAGCCTCTTTTATGGTGATGAAACAAAACTTAGAATGGCCTTGCAGATAAATATATGTATATCATATTTCAGAAAATAAGCTTTATTCTAAAAGTTAACTTCTAAATTAATGGTTTGAATTTGAGATAATACATTTTGACATAGAGACTTTCTTCTAACTGGATATTGGAGTCACAGCTAGCTTATATTAATCATATGTTATGAATTATTTGAAGGAAGTTCATAGGACTTTGCTAATGCTGTCTTACTATTTTATCTTTGCTTCATGTCCTTTCCCCCGCTTTAAAGAGATTTTGTGTTCCACACCTGGAAATATAAAAAATGGAAGATTTACCATTTACAAGGATGAATATCAATATAATGAAATAGTAACTTATATGTGTGATCCTTCAAATGGACCAGATGAATATTCTCTTGTTGGAGAGAGCAGGCTTGTTTGTGTTGATCATGACAGATGGAGCAGTGACCCTCCGGAGTGTAAAGGTAATAATATTTCCATTTATTTCCTCCTGAGTCTGCAAATACCATGGAAGCACTTCATAAATAGTTTTACCTGCAAGTAAACAAAACAGTCATAAATAGTTACTCCTCTTGCTAATTGACTTCTAATTCAATTAAATATTGGTCAAATCAAATTAAAAGATAATTCTAGTTGTAGAGTTCCCCACCAGTCACTCCACATGTCCTTGGCATTCCAATTTATACATCATGAGCTACTGTGTATATGCACGAGCTAGAACTTTTTGGTTTTCTTGTTTGTTTGAAAGCACCAGAAAACTCAACACACCCTGGCTTAAGAAATAAGAAAATTTTATCTTGTATTACAAGATCTCTGACAGTTCTGGCTACAGGAATATTAAGAGACTAACCCACTAAGTATCCATCAATATATGAATGGATAAAGAAGATGTGGTGTGGTATAGTGTATGTGTGTAATGGAATGTTACTCAGCCATAAAAAAGTGAAATCTTGCCATTTGTGGCAATACTATAGACATAGAAGGTGCTATGCTAAGTGAACTAAGTTAGAGAAAAGCAAATACCTTATGATTTCATTTATATGTGGAATCTAAGAAGCAAAACAAAGGAACAAACAAAACAGAAACAGACTCATAAATACAGAGAGCGAACTGATAGTTGCCAGAGCGGAGGGACAAGGGAGCACAGACAAATGGTGAGGGAATTAGCAAGGTGCAGACCTCCAGTTATAAATAAGTCACAGGAATATAATGTATGCACAGGAAATAGAGTCAATAATATTTTAACAGTTTTCCATGGTGACAGAGGGTAACTCGCATAATGAATAAAAAATATCAAATCACCCCTATGTTATATACCTGAAATTAATACAATATTGTATGTCAGCTACAATAATAGAAAATAGTGAATCACACACAGAAAAAGAAAGACTAACCCACTCACTGATAACATTGTTAACTTCTGGAAAAAATTTGTTTCAACAACAGTGATTGATGACTTCACGTTAACTGAAAGCAGGGAGACACAGGAGGATATGTGATTCTTGAAGGAGATACTGAATGATAGCAAAATATTTATTCTTTCCAAATGTACATGGGACATTCTCTAATATCACACTTTATTTTTTAACACATTTATTTCTAAAATATTGAAACTTTTACCTGTATAGTACCTGATCACGATATAATGAATGCAGAAATCAAAACAAGTTATATGTATAATTCCCAAATATTTGAAAAGAATGCAAGACACTACTAAGGAACCCATGAGTCAAAGAAGCAGTCAAAAGAACAGTTAAGAAGTGTTTTGAATCAAATAAAATTAGAACACAGCAGATCAATATATCAAAAGATGTGGGATACAGCAAAAGTATTGCTCAGAAAGATATTTTTAGTGTGAAATACTTATGTTAGAAAAACAGAAAAGTCTCAGATCAATCATCTAAGTTCTACCCTAAGAAACTAAAAAAGAAGAGCAAATTAAACCCAAAGCAAGAAAACACAAGGAAATAATAGTTAGAAATCCATGAAATTGAGAAGAGACACAAAACAGGGATAATCAAAGAAATCAGCCTGGTTCCTAGAGAAAATAGATGAAATAGATAAACTTATAGACAGTCTGACAGGAAAAAAGATACAAATTACCAATTACAAGAGTGAAAAGGAGAACAGCACAAAATATCCTACAGACATTTGAAGAATAATAAGGAAGAAAACAAAACACTGTATGCCTATAAATTTGACAGCTTAAACCTTCTCACAAAGAGTACTATAAACCCTGTGTCCTCACTGGGGAATTCTACCAAACATTTAAGGAATAGATGACAGCAGTTCTACACAAAGCCTTAAGAAAATACAAAAGGAGGGAATCCTCAACTCATTTCATGAGGACAGCATTTCTCTGATGCCAAGACCAGATGGTGTACAAGATAGCAATTTGACATTTACAAGATCAAAGCAAGTTGATCACCATGATGTCTTGTTCCCATCTGTCACCATTTAGAGTAAGTACAGAACTATTGACTATATTGTCTATTGTGTATGTCATAGCCTCATGGCTTATCTATTTGATAACTGGAAATCTGTGCCTTTTAATCCACTTCTTTTATTTTGTGCATCCTCCCAACCACCTCCTCTCAGTCAATCACTTGTTCTCTGTATCCATGAATCTGGTTCTGTTTTATTAGCCCATTTGTTTTATTTTGTAGATCCCACATATAAATGAAATCATATGGTATTTGTCTTTCTCTGACTGACATTTTACTTTGCATAATACCCTCTAGGTCCGTCAATGCTGTCATAAATGGAAAGATTTCATTCTTTTTGTGACTGGGTAATATTTCATTGTATACATACCACATCTTTTTCACCCGTTACTACCCTTAGGTGGCTTCCATATCTTACTGTTTAGTCACTAAGTCATGTCTGACTCTTTGCAACTGCATGAACTCCAGCACACTCGGATTTCCTGTCCTTCACTATCTCCCAGAGCTTGCTCAAACTCATGTCCATTGAGTTGGTGATGCCATCCTACCATTTCATCCTCTGTCATCCCCTTCTCCTCCTGCCTTCAGTCTTTCCCAGCATCAGGGTCTTTTTTAGTGAGTTGGCTCTTCACATCAGGTGGCCAAAATATTGGAGCTTCACCTTTAGTATCAGTCCTTCCAATGAATATTCAGAGTTGATTTCCTTTAGGATTGATTGGTTTGATCTCCTTGCTGTCCAAGGGACTCTCAAGAGTCTTCTCCAACATCACAGTTCAAAAGCATCAATTCTGTGGCACTCAGCCTTCTTTATGGTACAACTCTGACATTCATACATGATTACTGGAAAAACCATAGCTTTGACTAGATGGACCATTGTTGGTAAAGTGATGTCTCTGCTTTTTAATATGCTGTCTAGGTTGGCCATACCTTTTCTTCTAAGGAGCAATCGTCTTTTAATTTCATAGCCGCAACCACCATCCACAGTAATTTTGGAGCCCAAAGGAAATAAAGTCTGTCACTGTTTCTATTTTTTCCCTATTTGCCATGAAATGATGGGACCAGATGCCATAATTTCTTGTTTTGAATGCTGAGTTTTAAGCCAACTTTTTCACTCTCCTCTTTCACCTTCATCAAGTGGCTCTTTGGTTCCTCTTAGCTTTCTGCCATTAGGTGGTGTCATCTGCATGTCTGAGGTTATTAATATTTCGTCCAGCCCAGTATTTCACATGATGTAGCCTGCATATAAATTATATAATCAGGTGATAAAATACAGCCTTGACATACTCTCTTCCCAATTTTGAACCAGTCCATTGTTCCTTATCTGGTTCTGTTGCTTCTTGACCTCCACACAGGTTTCTCAGGAGGCAGGTAAGCTGATCTGGTAGTCCCATCTCCTTAAGAATTGTCCACAGTTTGTTCACAGAGAAGAGGATGACAGAGGATGAGATGGTTGGATGGCATCACCGACTCAATGGACATGGGTTTGAGTGGACTCTGGGAGTTGGTGATGGACAGGGAGGCCTGGCGTGCTGTGGTTCATGGGATCGCAAAGAGTCGGACACGACTGAGTGACTAAACTGAACTTGCTATCTATTGTAAAAAAATGCTGTAATGGAAAAAGCGCTGCATAAATCTTTTTGAATTAGTGTTTTGCTTTCTTTGGATTAATACCCAGAAGTAAATTGCTGGATTATATAGTAGTTCTATTTTCCCCTAGTCTATGCCAGCAAATTTGGAAAACTCAGCAGTGGCCACAGGACTGGAAAAGGTCAGTTTTCATTCCAATCCCAAAGAAAGGCAATCCCAAAGAATGCTCAAACTACCACACAATTGCACTCATCTCACACGCTATTAAAGTAATGCTCGAAATTCTCCAAGCCAGGCTTCAGCAATAAGTGAACCGTGAACTTTCAGATGTTCAAGCTGGTTTTAGAAAAGGCAGAGGAACCAGAGATCAAACTGCCAACATCCAGTGGATGATCGAAAAAGCAAGAGAATTCCAGAAAAACATCCATTTCTGCTTTATTGACTATGCCAAAACCTTTGAATGTGTGGATCACAATAAACTGTGGAAAATTCTGAAAGAGATGGGAATACCAGACCACCTGACCTGCCTCTTGAGAAACCTATATGCAGGTCAGGAAGCAACAGTTAGAACTGGACATGGAACAACAGACTGATTCCAAATAGGGAAAGGAGTACGTCAAGGCTGTATATTGTCACCCTGCTTGCTTAACTTATATGCAGAGTACATCATGAGAAACACTGGGCTGGAAGAAGCACAAGCTGGAATCAAGATTGCCGGGAGAAATATCAATAATCTCAGATATGCAGATGACACCACCCTTATGGCAGAAGGTGAAGAGGAACTAAAAAAAAGCCTCTTGATGAAAGTGAAAGAGGAGAGTGAAAAACTTGGTTTAAAGCTCAACATTCAGAAAACTAAGATCATGGCATCTGGTCCCATTACATCATGGCAAATAGATGGAGAAACAGTGGAAACAGTGTCAGACTTTATTTTGGGGGGCTCCAAAATCACTGCAGATGGTGATTGCAGCCATGAAATTAAAAGATACTTACTCCTTGGAAGGAAAGTTATGACCAACCTAGACAGCATATTAAAAAGCAGAGACATTACTTTGCCAACAAAGGTCCATCTAGTCAAGGCTATGGTTCCTCCAGTGGTCATGTATGGATGTGAGAGTTGGACTGTAAAGAAAGCTGAGTGCCGAAAAACTGATGCTTTTGAACTGTGGTGTTGGAGAAGACTCTTGAGAGTCCCTTGGACTGCAAGGAGATCCAACCAGTCCATCCTAAAGGAGATCAGTCCTGGGTGTTTATTGGAGGGACTGATGCTGAAGCCTAAACTCCAATACTTTGGCCACCTCATGCGAAGAGTTGACTCATTGGTAAAGACCCTGATGCTGGGAAGGATTGGGGGCAGGAGGAGAAGGGGACGACAGAGGATGAGATGGCTGGATGGCATCACCAATTCGATGGACATGAGTTTGAGTAAACTCCAGGAGTTGATGATGGACAGGGAGGCCTGGCGTGCTGCGATTCATGGGGTTGCAAAGAGTCAGACACGACTGAGCGACTGAACTGAACTGATGGCTCGCTTTATTCATTTCTATACACTGTCTTTCGAAGTAGAAGTTAGCTGTTCTTTAAATGTTTATTGCAATTCACCTGTGAACCCACGTAGTCCTTGTTTGTTTGGAGTTATTTGATTACTGATTCAATTTCATTACTAGTAGTCGGTATATTCACATTTTCTATTTCTTCTGGACTCAGTATTGGGAGAGTGAATGTTTCTGAGAATTTATCCATTTATTCTAGGTTTTCCAACTTTGGATGTATAATTGTTCATAGTATTCTCTATGATCCTTTGTATTTTTGTGGTATTGGTTGTAACCTCTATTTTTTATTTCATTTACTTGGATCCTTTATTTTGTTTCTTTATGAGTGTGGCTATGTGTTTGTCAATTTTATCTTTTCAAAGAGCCGTCTCTTATCTTCATTGTTTTTTAGCTCAATTTCATTTATTTCCACTCTGTTCTTTATTATTTTCTTCCTTGTACAAATTTTGTGGGGAGGGTTGTTCTTTTATTGCTATGGGTATAAGTTTAGATTGTTAACTTGAGACTTTTCTTGTTCCTGAAGTAAACCTGTATGGCTATAAGCTTCTCTCTTAGTCTGCTTTTCCTGTGTTGCACAGATTTGAAACACACCATTTTCATTTTCATTACTCTTAAAAAATATTTTTATATTCTTTTTGATCTCTTCAGTGAATGATTGACTGTTTAGGAACATGTTTTTTGGTTTCCATGTGGCATTTTTCTCCAGTTTTCTTCTTGTGGTTGATTTGTGATTGGAAAAGATACTTGATCATAGATTCAAATGTAAGACCTAAACTCTAAGACTTTATGGGAAGAGATAGAAAATATTTATGAGTAGCCAAAGATTTCTTTGAAAACCTTAAAAGCATTATCCTTTAAAGAAAAGTAAATAAACCAGGCTTCTTAAAATCTCAGAAGTGCTGCTCTCAAACACATTGGAGAATGAAAAAAGAGCCATAGACTGGGATAAAATATATGCCAAGGACATTTCTGAATGGACTTCAAGCTATGATAAATAAAGAACTCTCAAAACAATATGAAGAAAACAACCCAATTTACAAAAAAGGGGGGAACATATTTGAATGGAATTTTTCACCAAAGAAGAAATGTGAATGCCAATGTAGTATATGAAATGTTGCTCAATATCATTAGTAATAACAAAAATCTAATTTAACACCATGATGAGAAACCACTAGAAACCTATTAGAATGCCTGAAATTAAAAAGAGTAACTAATAATTCCATGTTTTGGTAAGGATATGATGTATTTGAAACTCCAATGCATTACTGTTAAGAATGCAAAGTGGTATGACCATTTTGGAACACAATTTAGCAATATTTTATACAGTTAAGCATCCACTTAAGGGTTTGATCCCTGGGTCAGGAAGATCCGCTAGAGAAGGGCATGGCAACTCACTGCAGTATTCTTGCCTGGAGAATCCCATGGACAGAGGTGCCTGGTGGGCTACGTTTCACAGGGTCGCAAAGAGTTGAAAGCAACTGAGGGACTTCAAGGCCTAACACTCAGCGATCCAAGTCAAATGAAAACATGTACAGGTGGAAACCTCCATGAGAATGTTCATAGCGTCCTTACTCATAATCATCCCACACTGGGAACAACTGAGAACGTCCTGTCCGTTGGAACCTGCCGGGTCACAGTCCTAGGGTCTCAGAGAGTCGGACAAGGCTGAGTGACTGTCAGTTTCACTTTTTCACTTGCATCTATTGCAGCTTTAATCTCATAAGATATTCTCTTGAAGTTCCTGCCCAGTCCAGCGCTTTTTGGTTTTGCTTTGTTTCCAAGTTCTGCAAAACCTATTTGTAGATCCTGAAGTCAAGCTAGAGTGTCATGATCTGTAATTTACTTCTGGAGAAACAGAGTAGGATGGGAAATAGCAGAGCACACTGGTGTGAGGGCTAAGTATTAACTTGAAACCTTATCTTGGGTCTGCGTGCTTGTATACTGCTTTACAACTTAAAAATTGTTTCTTGATCTCTGGATTGTAGTGCAAAATATTTGGAAAACACTGTCCTAATTACATTGGCCTTTGTGTTTCTTGAACATCCCAATTCCTGTGTGTTTTTGCCATCTGAAAACTTTTTTTTTTTTCGTTTTTTTTTTTTTTCATGACTCGCTTATTTAAAACTTTTAAATGAGCCCAACTATTACCTTCTCCAAAAGTCTTTACTACCTTTCTAAAAGAGCAAGGTATGTAATTAGTCTCAGCATGAGCTAAAAAAAATCCTAGAGCTGAAGAATATCAGAAGTAACTTTTGAACTTACCCTGAATTTATATCTGATAGTCAGACCTTTTCAAAACTTGTCAGCACTGGGGGAAAAAAAATGTAGAAAAACCAATAAACTATAATAATAGTCTGTTCTTAGTAGAAAAACATTAGATTCCTCTAAATCTGTTTCCCTGGAAGTCAAATGCACAAATAGTCTTTTTTTCTTTTTTTTTCAATTAACATCCTGCCTTTCATTCTTTGCTTCTTTCTTCCCACTGGTAATTATTACTTTGTACTAGATTTTTGCCCCTATGTGAAGCAGATTTCCATTAATTTTTGAATTTCTCCACTTTTCAGTGGTCAAATGTGACTATCCAGTTGTTGAACATGGAATGATAGTATCAGGATTTAGAAGAAAATTTTACTACAAAACGCAAGTTGTATTTAAATGTAACCAGGGTTTCTCCCTTCATGGCAGCAGCACAATTGTCTGTAACGCAAACAGTGCTTGGGAGCCCAAGATACCAACATGTGCTCAAGGTATGAAGGTGTCTTTCTCCTTTTTTTTTTAAGATTTTTTTTTTTAGATTTATTTTTTAACAATAAATTTCGATGATATAGAATAACAGAAAAGAAACAATCTTAGTACACATATCTGCCTTGTAGCCATTTCCATGTTACATGCATGACAACTAATTCACAAAGAAAGCTGCTGTTTTGATTTTTCTGTCCTTTTATAGGCTCTTTAAATGTGATGTTACGTACATCACAGATGCTTAAATTTCTCTTGTTCTACATCTTACACGTAAAATGGATAGGAAACGTTTTTCAGTGTAAATGAAAGCAATTGCATTTTTACATAAATAAGTATGAAAAGCATAATTCATGTAAATGAACAGAGAGTGATAAATTCCAAGTAATTCAATGAGTTTATATTTTTGTTTTCCAGTGCCACTTGCTGCTACTACTAAGCCTTCAACTACCCATGCCTCAGGTTTCATAAAGTCCTGCTCATATTTGTCAATATCCTTTAAATTCTTTGTGAATTTTCAAAATCCTTTAAATGTCTGGTGATTTACACTTGCTGTAATTTTTGGCCATAGAAGGAGGGAGGATGTATTTACAGCCATTTTTGTACTTAGTCTAAAATTATTTACTATAGTCCACAGGCATAAACAGATGTCTAAACTTAGGTAATATGTGTGAACTTGGTTATGTACATGTGTAATGATTGAATGCCTCCCTCACTTTGTGAATAGTAAAGTTACAATGGGATGCATTTAAAGCACTTAGCACAGTGCCTGATGTCTAGAAAGCTCTTAAAGGAAGCTCACCTAATGCCCAGTTTCACTGTAATTAGTATTAATGCAGAGGAAGATCCACGGCTTCTGTTTTTTAACATGTATGTTTTCTGTGTCATCAACAGTGATCATTTATTCATTTTAAAAGTGATCTGTTGACACCTGTACAGGGTATCATCTGGGTCCAGGAATGTGTTTCATTTTCCTGCCAATAAGGAATTTGATTCTTTTTCAGTAGTGTAATTTTAACTGAGAAATTTCTGCTGTCTTCAGAGCAAGATTGGTGTTTCTAGTCCTCACCCCCACCTCCTGCCAACTCATGCAATTATTATTTTTCTCTTTACTGGGCTTTTTGTGTGTGTGTGGCAGCAGAAAATAAGTTTTTTAATAACTGAAGGGCAGGAAAAGTCCCTACTTACTGAAATGAAATAGAGACCTTCTGGCAGGTACTACTGATCAGCTACTCTTCCTAAGACTTGAGCGACTGTGTGGACTGCTGTCTCTTCTCTTTGGTTGCAGCAGAAGTAAGAGACAAGCGAAAGAGTGGGAAGACAGGATTTTTATGATTTATTACTTGCTACCTTCTACATAATACAAAGCTATAGTGAACATTCTTACGCGTACAATTTTATGTACTTATATACATACATATTTAGGTTAACTTCCCAGAAGTAGAATAACAGAGTTTGGAAAGTATGTATATTTTTCATTTTGAGAAGTAATCTTTTAAAAAATGAAAAATCAAAATTCTATATTTTGTACTGATGAGACTGATGAATTGAGTTAAATTTATTTTTCCAGGTCCTCATCCAAATACAACTACAGTGTCAAGTTCAACAGGTTCAGTACCTCTTTATCCTATCTACATAGTTTAGAACTTAATAAGGCAATGGGTGAAAAGTGATATTATGTGCTAATTTTGCATTTTTAATTATCAATGAAGCTGAATTTTTTAATCTACTTACGCTGATTTTTGGACCTCTGTTCATTTTTTCTGTGTTGTTTCAGAAGTGTTTTTCTTGTTAACTTATCAGAACTCATTATAAGTTAAAGCCCTTTTAACATGAAGTGGAATTTTCTTTTAGGTTTTTTGTCTTATTTTACTAGTCATTTGTATAAAATTGTAAGATTTTATACTATTGAGTATAGATTGCTTTTTATAACTTTTAATTACATAAGTAGTATACTAACATACATTTGTAAGATTTGTCCTTATTTATTGAAATTAAATGGAGGCTTTCTGACAGGGATTATAGATCAGCTACCCTTCCTAAGACTTGAGAGACTATTTTGATATGGTGGAAGGAATTGTCTTCCTGACTTCAAAGCTGCTCTCTCTATCTTCTTTTCTTTGGTTCCAGCAGAAGCAAGAACAGGAGAAAGAGTGGGAAGACAGGATTTTATAATTTATTATTTGTAACCTTCTACATAATACAAAGCTATAGTGAACATTCTTATGCATACAATTTTATGTACTTATATAAATGTATATTTAGGTTAACTTCCCAGAAGTAGAATAACACAGAGTTTGGAAAATATATTTATTTTTCATTTTTAGAAATAATTTTTTAAAAACTGAAAAATCAAAATCAGTTCTATAATTTTGTACTGATGAAACTGATGAATTGAGTTGAATTTATTTTTCCAGATTCTCGTGCAAATACAACTACAGTGTCAAGTTTGACAGGTTCAGTACCTCTTTATCCTATCTGCATAGTTAGAACTTAATAAGGCGATGGGTGAAAAATGATATCATGTGCTAATTTTGCTTTTTAAATTATTAATGAAGCTGAATTTTTTATCTACTTTCACTTATTTTTGCACCTCTGTTCATTTACCTATGTGGTTTCAGAAGTAATTATCTTGTTGACTTATCAGAACTCACTATATACATTAAAACCCTTTTAACATGAAGTAGAATTTTCTTCTAGGTTTTTCTTTGCCTTATTTTTACTAGTCAGTCATATAAAATTGTAAGATTTTATACTATTGATATAGATTGCTTTTTATAACTTTTAATTACATAAGTAGTATACTAACATACATTGGTAAGATTTGCCCTTACTTATTGAAATGAAATGGGGGTTTTCTGGCAGGGACAGGAACTGATCAGTTACTCTTGCCTAAGACTTGGGAGACTACTTTGATGTGGTGGGAGGAACTGTCATCCAGAGTTCAGTGCTGCTATCGCTGGCTTCTCTTAGGTTTCAGCAGAAGCAAGAGACAAGAGGAATGGTAGGAACAGCACTCGCCTGGGCAGACCTCACTCATAAAGCATTGTATATTTATTCTGAATAAATATGTTACCTCACTCAGGTAACATCATTTCCATAGGTTCCAGTTTCCCATTGTTTAATGACTCAAACAAATGTCACTTACTGCCTTCTTGTTTGTTTTTTTCCTTCTGCCCTAACATTTTGAGGAATTGAGGGGCATTATTCATGTTAACCGGAGAAGGCAATGGCACCCCACTCCAGTACTCTTGCCCGGAAAATCCCATGGACAGAGGAGCCTGGTGGGCTGCAGTCCATGGGGTCACGAAGAGTCAGACACGACTGAGCGACTTCACTTTCACTTTCATGCCTTGGAGAAGGAGATGGCAACCCACTCCAGTGTTCATGCCTGGAGAATCCCAGGGACGGGGGAGCCTGGTGGGCTGCCGTCTATGGGGTCGCACAGAGTCAGACACGACTGAAGCGACTTAGCAGCAGCAGCATTCATGTTAACACGGGAATTGGAACATCTTTTTATAATTACTATAAACCTGGTACCCTCACTGAGCAGACTCATTGAATACCTTGGTGAGTGCTGTGAAGTTTTGTGGGGAAAGAGATTTTTTTTTTTTTTGGTGGATGATATATAAAGATTGCATATATTTACTCATTGACCCACCAATGTTTAATCACATGGTCCTAGTGGGAATCTGCACTGTGGTAACTATGTTGATATGCTCTTTTGAAAGAGTTGACTATAAGCATTTCATAAAGCATTTATAAAACACTGATCCAGTTTAGTGTTTAAAAGAAGACAGAATTGTGAGGACAAGTTTATAAAGAAGATAAATTACAGGGACCTTTTTTAAAATATAAGAATCAAAATTCCTCATGAGAGGACATGAGTTAGAGTTTTTATCATCAGAACATGAGTTTTTATCATCAGTTAGAAAAAGACTATGAAAAGGATCATTAGTGAAATATAATGGTATAAAGTAGATGTGATTATGTGTATGTGTGCTCAGTCATGTCTGACTCTTTGTGACCCCACTAACTGTAGCCTGCCAGGCTCCTCTGTCCATGGAATTTTCCAGGCAAGAATACCAAAGTGGATTGCCATTTCCTTCTCAAGGGCATCTTCCCAACCCCGGGAAACTTGCGTCTCTTTTGTCTCTTGCATTAGCAGATGGATTCTTTACCACTGTGCCGCCTGGGAGTTTTATGCCCTTCCAGGGAGATGTGATTATGTGATTATGCATATATGAAAAAATGTGGGCAAAATATGAGGTGAAAAAGAAAGGATACAAAGTATGTAGTATGATACTATGTGGATGGTATTTTTAAAGCATTATATATTTATTCTGAATACATGATCTTTATGACTTATTATTTGTTAATTTCTAGGATTTCCATTATGTAATACAAAGCTATGGTTAAACATTTTTTGTATACATTCTTATGTACTTATGTTAATATATGTTTAGGTTAATATATGTTTATTCTACTTTCCAGAAGTAGAATAGCATAGTTTGGAAAGTATGTATATTTTTCATTTTGAGAAGCAATTCATTTTGTGAAGTAATCTTAAAGAATGAAACATCAAAATTAAATCTATAATTTTGTATTGATGAAATGGGTGAATTGAATCAAATTAATTTTTCCAGGTCTTCGTCCAGCTACAACTACAACATCAAGTCATGCAGGTTCAGTACCTCTTTATCTTACTCACATTGGTTAGAATTTAATAAGGTAATCAGTGAAAATGATGTAATATACTAATTTACATTTTTAAATTCCCAATAAAGCTGAATTTGTTCATTTTTCTATGTGGTTTCTGAAATATTTTTTTGGTCAACTTATTATCTAAGCTCTTTTAACATGAAGTGGAATTTTCTTCTAGTTTTTTTTCTTTGATTTATTTTACTAATCAGTTTTCTTTTAAGATTTTATTCTATTTCCTATAGATTGCTTTCTGCAGCTTTTAACTATATAAGTAGATACTAATATAAATTTATAAAATGGCAAA